TTTTTTAAATACACAGAGGAATTTGATTTGTTGGCTTGCCTTGGTGTTAGAAGTCTGTTGTTTTCTTAAGAAGCCCACATAAGTGAGGCTTCTACTTGTGCTCAGAGACAGGAATTTTCTGAACAACAATAAAAAGGTACAGGGGTAGAAGGGAGTGAGATGAAACCTGTTTTCCCACTTACTGCTCACTCAGTGACCCACCGGGTAGACATTCACATTCCAGTGACACGGATCATGAAGAGTCACCGACATAGGGAGCATTGCCCTGGGCTGACTGGCCTTCACTGTCAGCAAATCGTGTCCTCTAATGACACTCCGTGGAAAGCACTGTGACTTTTATGGGCTTGTACCTCCTGCCTTTTGACAGAAAATGGCCTCTCTTGGCACTTGCTGCAACTATTTAGTCTTTTTGGATCTATGATGCCTGTACCAAGAACATTATAGGAGAAGGAACAAATGACATGGAGACCCACGGAGATCAGCTAGAATCAGGAAAGGTCCCAAGGGAACAAGCCAGAGAGGTGCTATTCCTCGTGTTTTTATTTTTTGGGGGAAAATAAATGATAGATTAAAAGATTTAAGGTTGTGGACTCCTACGAGGAATTAGGTACTGGTTTCAGAAGGGTTTTTGGTATTTTTCATTCAGCATTCCCTTTATTCTTTCCATAGACTGAGAATAGCAGGGCCATGTGTTTTAGCAAAAGCAGGGGTCATCCTGTTAATTCTTGGACCTGGGGCCCCGAACTGCAGATGGTGGACATCAGGATGCCTCCCTGTGGTGCCTCCTTGGGGAAATCACACGGCTCCTTTGTTAGAGACCTAAGAAACATCCAGCTTAATGGTTTGAGAAGACCTATCTGTTTTCACTTCTAAATAAGGGTGTCAGCAATCTGGGTCGTTTTTTAAAATATGACTTTCTTTATTCTCCCCCTTCTTAATAGTGCATTCCAGCTGATTTAAGACATGAGTCTCATCACTCCAGGCATCGTCCTACTTCAAAGCCACCCAGCACTGTGTGCTCTCTACCCAGCCTGCCCCCCAAAAGTAGGTGGCCCAGAATAAGGAGGAGAAAGAAAAAAGGGGGCACTCTCCCCTCACACTGGAGCACCAGAGAAACGCCTTCTGGGCAGCCAAGTGTTGCTCATCCAGGGAGCGGTGGGGTTCTTAGGACCACCTTGGAAGCTCCTCCATCTCTCTACTGTCCCCCTCTCAGCCCTCACCTGCTAGTCCCCACCTTGAACCTCTAAAGTAACTAGCCCACAGCCAAAGAAGGCATGTAGGACTACAGGGAAGGTGGAGAGCATGGGTTTCCTCCTTACAGCCCTGGCCATCTGTGGGATGACAAACTTCAGGTCCAGAGTTCCATCTACTGGAGGTCCATAATGACACTGCAGCCTTGTGTGTGACACATAGGAAAGGATGCCCATAGTAATCAAGGGCCCAAGACAATCTCCAAGCCTTGTGGGTTTGTGTGGCCTGGGGGCTGTTTTTGGTGAAGTAAAATGTTCACCAAGTTTAGGGGGGTATGAGGCACCAGTGAGGAGAGATTTCATTCTGGGGAGGCTGGGGGATTGCCAACCAGTCCTCCCTCCCACTCACCATCTGCCCAGGCTCTGGAGGCAGCTCTGGGAGGGTGAACTGTGATGAGCACACCATCTCCTCCTGGGACTGGCTGCTCCCGCCTGTCCTGTGCCAGCAGGTGGGGGATAGGGGGCGTGTGATCCAGGGATAGGGAAAGGGAACCTGTTCAAAACAGACCTCTGCCACCATGGACTCCGTGGCTCACACGAAGAGAAAGCTTTCCTTTGGAGTTCGGATGAAATAAGCCCATTGATCATTAGAGCAAGTCAGTAACATGGGGCGCAGGCATGGGCCTCAGGGGCTCAGTGCCTCTTGAGACTATGTGCAGAATGCTGCATGGATGGGCACATTTTTTGGTGACAGTTCATAGTTTTCATCAGTGTTTCCTGACCTCCTACTTTCCCCCAAATTAAAGAAGCACTAATTTAGAGGAAAGGTAAGAACTGCTTTGACCTTTATTAGCAGGATATAACAACCTGAGAAAGGAAAAGCCACAAGGACACTCCTGACTTGAGAAGTCCTTCTTTGGCCGATGCCTGGGATCCCATCTCGGGCCATCTTCAAATCTGTAGCAGAACCCACACCTTACACGTTGTAGTCACTCAGTGACTTGGTGAACAAACATGGATTTGAATGTGACTGCTCCTGAGAGTAGGCAAAGGGTCTGCTCACGTTGCCATAGTAGAGAGACGTGCATACTCCAGTATTGCAAGACCACCGTGGCGGTGTCTCGTAGCTCCCACACCTTTCTCTCCCTAGTCTCACTTCACCCATCCTGCCTCAGCTTGTGTTGTGTGATGTTGTTTTTCTTCTGCTCAGGTCTGGTTTCCTTTGCATTCTTGGTTCAGACATGCCTTCTGGCCAAAGGAAGGCTCCCAGGCTCCCTGTGATGGGACAGAGTCCCCCTACACACACACACACACCCAGCCCCACCAAAGACCTTCTGCCCTGCTTCTCCCAACAGCTGCTGTTTTGCTGGATATTTTAGTAGTGCAGCCACTGAGAAAATCCTCCATCCCACAGCCAGGAAGGCTTTACAGCTGCACGCTCTATTTTTAACAGTGGCCAAGTTCCTAGGAAACCCCCATTCCTGTCAGAGGATCACATGGACTCCGGGCTTCCTTCCTGCTCCTTCACTCCACTTGCCTTTAGTGACTCCACAGTACGAAGTTCACACAGCCCTGCCTGGTCTGGCTCTCACCAGCTCAGCCTCATCCAGCCAGTCTTCCCTACTTCCTCCTACAATTGGCATTTACCACCCCTGTCTTTGTAATTACTTTTTACTTAAGTTTCCCTGCTAAGAAGGCTTCCCATTTACAGCACACCACCTAGCACATCTTAAATTCATGTATTCACTCAACAAACATTTACTGAGTACCTACCATATGCAAGGCACTGTTCCAGCACATGGGATTCACCAGTGCACAAAGCTTGTGTAGTTTACAATCTAGCATGGAAGACAATAAATAATAACTGTCATAAATAAATAAATTGCACAGTTGTAAAGTGATAAGTCCTATGGAAACAACAGAGCAGGGTAGGTGGAAATGGGAATGCTCAATAAATTGGTTAAATTGAATTTAATTGTGACATGGTTATATGGACATAGGTTGGGAACTCTTCTCTTCCTCATTAATTCAGTTCAAACCAATGATCCACAGATACAATTTTTGCATTATATGCTGTGACTATATTTGGTGAATTTCTCCATGCAAAAAAAAAAAAAAAAGAAGTATTAATGGATTCATAAAGAACATATTGGGATGTAATACTTCAAACCTATGAGACTAGGTAGATCTCTCAATACTTCTCAATCTTCTTTATTCACAGCACACGGAGTACATAATATTTACCAGCATACTTCAGTTCCTGGATAGGTTTTGAGAGTCTAAGAAGCCCTGAGGGATGAGAACCTTAATATACCACCACTCACTAAGGCATGTGGAGTGGAAATAGCAGCATTGGTTACCAAACTTAAGCATACCTTAGAACCACTTGGGCTGATTACAATGTAGATTTATGAGCCATACTGAGCTCTTGGGACTGGGAACAGGACCAAGAACCTGCTTTGTCAGTTTTCCCAGATGATCCTGGTGCTGGTGGTCTTGGGACCACACTTTGAGCAATGCTGCTGCTGTACAACATAATGGAGAAATGGGGAAAATCACAATTTCTATTATGCTGTTATAGATGAGGTTGGGAACTATGGAGAGAATGGTAGGTCAGTGGTCTCAAACTTCATTAGCATGCATCAGAATTACCTAGGGGCTTGTAAAAACATGGGTTTTGGGGCCCAACCTCAGTTTCAGAGTGGGGACCAAACAAGGTCCCCATGATGCAGGATGCTGCTATTATTTAGGATCATGCTTTAAGATGACTTCCACTGATGGAAGTCATTCAGGAAGCTTGGAACTTAGGAATTTGGGGTTTATAAACTAATTTCACATAGAAAATGTTGGGTTCATGTTTAGGACAGTAGGATTAGACCTGTTTAGTACACTCATAAAGCATCAGAATAAGTAGATTTGAGGAACAATCAAAATGAATTTCTTCTTTGATAAAAACATTGATCTGTGATCTCTCTTCATGTCCACCCTCCAGCTTCAAGGGACAGGAAGTTGAGGTAGCTGTCCATTTCTGTGGTGTAAATACTTCCACCATGGTCATTGTCAAGCTGCCAAGGTGAAGTCACTGAACACAGAGCTGGGAAGAGATACACACTGAATTCTCCACAGCCATAAGAGTTAGCTCTGGCATACCTCTGGCTATACACACCACCTCTATCTCGGCTGTGGTGACAGGCACAGGGACCCTTCTCTGAATGCTTATACCAAACTGGCTGCCTTTCCTGGCCCGTGGCCTGTACAGCTTATGGAGCACTGAGATTCAGCTTTAGATTCTGGGCATAGCCCAGGGTCCAGGTGGCAAGCCTTTAGGAAGATCTCTTTCCTCATACATCCTGGAAGGCATCAGTTCTCCAGCTTTGTCAGTAAAAGCTGACATGCTTCACACTCCAAGGTCAGGATGCCTCAAGGTACAACAGAAGATTTGATGGCCACATAAACCCAACTGAGGTAAATCTATCCCACAGCTTAGAAATTATATTTTGAGGTGACCTACCTTGTTAGGCCAGTGAATAGAAAACATTGGATAAATTTTTCTTTTCCAGAAAATAAAACAACAGAGAGAGGAAGGCAAGATTCCTCTTAAGAGAGAGAGCCTGCAAAGTCCCTTCACAGTTCAGATCAGGGTCACGGGCAAGTATTCTGAATAGAGATGAAGCCAAGGGTAATGATGGATCCTGATCCACAAGTTCGGTCCCATTGTCTCCTCCAGATATGTTCACACACCTTTCTACCTGCCTCTTTGCTTTAACTCAGTTCTGCTTTCTTTTTCCTAACTTTCCTTCATCTTTCCAGATGCAGGACGCTATGGGCTATGAGTTACCCTGGGTGTATTTTGTCAGTCTGGTCATCTTTGGATCCTTTTTCGTTCTAAATCTGGTTCTCGGTGTGTTGAGCGGGTAAGCTGACCATTTTTATGTCCTCTTTACAATGCAGCCGAGCAAGGTCCCAGGTTCCACTATGACCATTGCCAGGATCCTCAGGAATAGGACCTTAATGGGCCCAGGAAAACCAGAATAAAAAAAGTCTCCATTCAACCACAAATTCTGATCCGTTGGCCAGGCAGGCTGTTTGGCCTCTGAGTTGCACCTAGAGGATCCTCGGGTCCCTGCGCTGCTCGGGTCAGCGTCTGGGGAGCTGGTGGCTGGCACTTGGCCATGCTCGGTTGCTATGTGTGCCTCACTAACTATCATTCCATTCTTCCAGGTCAATGATGCCGTAGGAAGGGACTGGCCCTGGATCTATTTTGTTACACTAATCATCATAGGGTCATTTTTTGTACTTAACTTGGTTCTCGGTGTTCTTAGCGGGTAAGCAGGACCAAGGAAAAAGGTCTTGATTTTTCCATTTATTTTTATTCATTCTTTCCGCTATTCTTGGCTCTTTCCTTTTCTGGCTCTGATGAACTTGGGATAAGGGGTTACCTTGGGAGCCTTGAAGTGAATGTCCTTGGCCTGGCTGATAAAGGGTCAAATGCACAAGAAGGAGTCCACTGGTTTAAGTGATAGATGATGGAGAAGAGATGCCTAGTCCTGCCTCTCTCCTCATCAAATCCCCTTCCTGTTAAGACAGGCAGGATGCTTCTCCTTGTGTATCAGTAACCTCAGCCTCCAGAGCAGCATGAGGAGACCCTTGAGTAGAAAGGGCTTGCAGCAGGAATTTGAGGGAGGACTCATACAGGAAGTGCTTTCAGCATACATAGCAGTCTTGCAGATAAGTAGCCTTATCTCTTGGGCCAGTTACTATTTGCAGGCTAATATTGGGAATTTCAGATCACTTTTACTCAGTGGTGAACAGACCAGGGTAATAATAATTTGGTTTAAAATATAAGTAGGGCTGACAGTGTAGCTCAGTGGTAGAGCACTTGTCTAGCATGCAAGTTTTATTTGATCCATATATACACACACATATCCATATAAACACACACACAAACACACACACACACACACACACACATATATGGTAAACAAACACAGACCAAAAATCTAATTATCTTCAGTTTTAATTCATAGACTGTTCAATTTATTACTGATGTTTCCCTTTCTGAATGGAAAGGACACTTAATTAGTTAAAGTCATAGGTTATTTGACAGTAGAGGAGATGGAATTTACTTTCCTTTAAATTTACCTAGTTGGCTACAATATAAAATCTACCTGATCTCAGCCCTTGCTCATATAAAGCTAAAAGTGACAGGTTGAGTGTTGTCGCACAGGCCTATAGCCCCAACAACTCAGGAGGCTGAGGCAGGAGGATCACAAGTTTGAGGCCAGTCTGGACAACTTAGTAAGACCCTGTCTCAAAATAAAAAATAAAAAGGGCTGGGGATGTATCTTAATGGTCAAGCACCCCTGGGTTTAATCTTCAGTAACCCCCTCTGGAAAAAAAAAAGTAAAAGTGACAGAGGCAGCACATGGTTTGGGGGGCGTCACGTGGCCCTGAGGACAGCCATGTTTTCACCGGGAGGCTTGGGATGTTTCTTCAGCTCACTTTCTTCTTCACCAGTCCACACCAGCCATGCCAAGGCCTGCCACCTAAATGCTCCTGGTGACCACTCATGGGCAACCTACTCTGCTGCCTTTGCTCCTTGGGGGGTGGGATTAATCTATTCCTGCTCTGCTTGAACAAGCCAGCTGCTTTGATAGTCTTCCCTGGAGGTACAGGGACATGAACACGGGGGCTGGTGAGAGTTCAGGCTTGAGGGGAGAGGTTCTGTCCATTCTCAGTATAGAAGCAGGGCAGAGCTGTTCCCAACTAGAGCAGTTGAATATGATGCAGGGACACGGGGTTCATTCTTGGGAACTGGGTGAAGGAAAGGATCTCACCCCACCCATTTCCATGGCAGATGGCCTGTAAGGGCCCTTGATGGCATTATACCTTTTGCTAAGGGCAGGCTACATGGGAGACAAGTGTTTTCCAACAGGGTGAGAAACAATGAGCAGGGCAGGGGTGCAGCTCAGTGGTAGAGCACTTGCCTAGCATGTGTGAGGCCCTGGGTTCCATCCCCATCACCACACACACCGAGCACACACACGCACACACAAACAAAAAAATAAAAGTGATGAGTAGAATAATGGAATCCCCTGATTAGTTAGTTGCCTGGAGGGTAAAAAGGTTTTTATTTTTATTTTTAATTTTTTTTTTGTTCCAACACAAGAAAATGCCCTGGATTTATACGTGAATGTCTAGGGAAAACCCTCATTATACCCATTCAGGACAGAAATTTGGGTACCCAGCTCTGCACCTAATGTTGGGCAACTTCACTTTTTTAAACCTCAGTTTTCCCATATGAAAAAAAATGAAGATGATAACAACCAGTTCATAATCAGTCATGATGTTAGCATGAAATCCTTCATGTAAGATGCAGCAGAGTGACCGCTGTATAGTAAGTACTAAGTAACGGTGGTGTCACGGTGATGAATATTATCTACCTGGTACCTGTCATAACTGGAATTATTGAACAGAATCATCACAGTTCCAAAAACTTTTAACCTTTACTTTTAAAGGTGAGAATGTGAGCCCAGAGATGTTAAGTGGCTTGGACAATGTCCCTTCACTGGTAAATGGCAGGATGGGACCAGCACTCAGGCAGGGCCTGACTGCCATCTTCACTGGTGAATCGCTAGATGTCCATTGAGGGACTCTGGACCATAATGCAGGCCAAAGCTCTAACCCTTTAAGAGAATGTAGTTCCCCTTTCTTCTCTTGGAGATTAGGAACCGAACCCAGCAGGTAAAATTCCTCCAGGCATCTGAAGTGGAGAATGAGCCCCTCCTGCAGGAGACTATCTGTCCCCTCCCACAGGAATGATTTTCCACATGTTGTCAAATCAGGGAAATCAAATGACGGCAGCTGTTGATGACAGAGAAAAGGTCATTCTGAAGCCATGTCTGTTCTCCCTCAGTCTAAGTGAGAAAAGGTGTGTAAAAACATCTCACCTGAAACCTGGTGCTTAGTGATACTCACAGAGAACAAGAACATGAAAGCTCTTTGACTTCGGAAACTGTGAGTCTTTGAGTTCATACATTGGTCTTTTCCCAGCACCTGCCACCTGGCCACTCCCAGAGCTGCAGTCTGCTCCTGGCAGCTCTAGAATCACAGATTGGCTCTTTGCCCAGGCAGAGAGATGTCTGAGGGAGAACACCTCCCCTTTCTGGTTCAGGGAGGCCTCTCCTAAGGCCACTCTGGTGACAGCCCACGCAGTGACAAAAACTAGAAGCAGGCTTCTGTTGGCTGACCACAAAGTAGTGATGTCTGGAGTCAAGCATTTTGATTACCCAGGATGATATAATAGTCACCACAATATTGTGGCAAAACACCAACTTATTCATCACTTATAAAATTCTGATTATAAACCAAACCTTTCATAAGCACTCAAAAAAGTCTCAGAGCCATGCGACATTCACTAGGACAGCATGGGCAGTTGCCACCATTCTGCATCAGGCTCTACATTTGGTACTTCTGGTGCATTAGCTCACTTATTGCTCCCAACAACTCTATGAGTTAGGTGCTATTCATATTTCCATTCTACAAAGAAGAAGAGTGAGGTTTCAAAGAGGAAACTCAATAGGTAAAAAATAGAGGATCCAGGACTGAGCCCAAGCAATGTGCATCCATAGCCTCTATCTCTAACCTGTGGTATATCTTCCCCAAGTCCATTTGACCCATGAGTCCAATGTTTGTAGACTACATTCAGGTCACGGGAAGGTGAAGAGCAGAAGCCATGGTTAGAAGGGCAAACAGAAAGGCAGGCAGCAGAATCAATCTACAGTCTGGGTCCTGGACACAACCAGGGGAGCAGAATCAGTCCCAGAAAGAAGCTACAGAGACCACCTAGAAGGCAGGAGTGCTAAGCATGGGGGCTGCATCCCTGCAAATGGGACTTGACAGAGCAGGGATCCCAACTCAATAGTACTGCAGTCTTCTAGACTGGGGACAGAGGGTATGGAACTCTACATCTACCAATTAAGGAAGATACTATTTTACAGCCCAGCACAGTAATCATCCTGAAAAATTATGTCCTTCATCCAGCCAAGAAAGATTAAATTGTGCTCGGTATATTCTTCTCATGAAGAGAGAGAATGGCATTCTTAAAGTTTCCATTAGAAAGGAAGAAATTTAAATATTTTGAACATTGAGGGTTAGATATTCTTTATCTGGAACATTCTCTCCAGAACACTTTATTTATGATGAGGCTAGATAGAGTCAAGTCTGAAGAATATACATCTCTTGGGATATTTTTCAAAATGCTTCTTTCATGTTATTATCTACTGACCTTCACATAAACCCAGTGCAAGTCATAAAACTGGCAGTGGTATAGATGATAAATCGGATTATAATTACTTTCCCTTCCAAAAATCTCAATCTCTAGCATGTTAGAATTAAGATGACAACAGTGACAATGAGATTCTTGAAACTGCACTTGAAGCTATAACCAGATGCAAGTCTGCACTCTGGAATCAGTTACCTTTCGCTTTAAGTGATGGCGAACAGGCCTTCAGATACGTACTTTTAGTTTGCAAAAGGCCCAGGATCTCTTACATGCGTAATCATCCCATCTTTTTACTCACTTGAAATGGACACATCTCGTGCTCCGAAAAGCAGAGGACCTGAGGGGTAGGCATTTTACAAACTGGAAGTATAACTGGACCATGGCACCAGTCAAGACAAAATATCCAGGCCAAGAAGAAAACAATTAAAGGCCAGACACACATTCCCTGTGGTGGGGACAGAAGAGCTGGCCACACATACATTAAATTCTCATTATTCGCAGTAGTTGTGTTCTATGATGTAGCCATGAACACTGAATTAGTGAATACTGAACCATCAATCTTAGGGGAAATACAGGGTCAGAGTCCTGTGAGCCTCTGGTCACAGCATTTTGTCCACCACTCAGTATATACCCACCCTTGTCCATGTGTGTTTCTGTGTAAAGATACCTTATTTAGTATCAATCATTGATTCATTAACATTGAACTCCAAGCCAACAACACTTCAACTCATGCCTGAACGAAGCTTACCTAACACACATATTTCTCCATAAGGCACATCACAGCCTTCTTGCACTTAGGAACACTAGACAGCTCTTCATAACTATGCTTGGGCCATTTTAAACAGCAAAACCACCAACAAAAAGCATAAAAATGCCACAAAACAAGACAAAAATCCATGGCACTAAATAGACTATAAAAAGGACATTCATTTACATTACGAGAAATGGATCAAGAAAAAAAGCAGAGCGTACCTTGTTTGGCCTCAGCTGAGAACACATGAAGTGAACATATGAAGTTGTCATTCTGGGCATGTTCATAAATGACCATGAACGTGCCCTGAGTATTGATTTGGGGGTTTACAAATAAATTTACTGAATAGGAGAATTCGTAAATATGAGACCCACAAATAATGATGATCAAATGTATTGATTATCAACGGGCCTAGAGCCCCAGTGGTCGGTATTGATTGGATTTTCCACAGTTATTTTCTGCCACATGCTTTACCTGACTGAGCACCAGCACCCTGGCCCTCCACTCCACCCCTCATTTTTCATATTGGCCATTTCTGGCAAGAAATGCACTCCTGCCTTATGACAAATCCCACAGCGGTGACTGATTGTCTCTTCGGCTCCAGTCCCTGGACCCAGTGCAGCCCGTCAGGCTGGGGCTTCATGTCTTCATTAGCTCAGTCCCCAGAGCAGGCGCATGGCTGGCATCCAGGCAAAGAGATAAAGAGAGCCAGGCACTGCCATCCAGCACATTCCTTACCACAGGGGCCTGGCGAGGGAAACCTGGCTCACCTTCCACCCTGCCAAAGCCTGGCTATGCCCACACTCTGTGGGATCCAACAGGAGCCTCATTCTGTTCCATTTCTTCAGGCCCCATCCAGCTACCTCCAGCCCCCAAATGCATCCTTCTTCTATAAGAGAAAATGTCTTCAGATCAGTAAGAACCACACAGATCTTGCTTTTCTCTTCTCCCTGCAGATGTTTATTTTAGTTCCCCAGAAGTTTGAGGTCTAAATGATGAGCTTTCACTCCATGGGGCAAATGCTCTAAAACTGGGTCATTTATCCTTACTCCAGTTGGATCCAGGTCCTATTCTCCTAACTCCAAAAGAAGGATAATAGATGTTTGGCAACCAAACCTTGAACCCTCTGCAAAATCATCCAAAATAGCTCAAGTGAGCCCTTAACAGTTCAGTCCCTTAAGACCTCAAACCCACTCCAGGGGAAAGAAGCAGAGAATGGAAATAGGGAGAGGCCACCTTGAAGTACAGATTTTTGTAGTTCATCTACACAGGAAGGAAAATACATTCTGAAGTTTCTCTCTCCAGAGAGCAAGACCAAGGCCACAAGAGGCTCAGAGAGGTGTGGAGGAAGGAGCTGTTGCCCACCCCCAATGGCAAAAGCAGGACAGAAGCAAAGCAAGGCAAAGCCCCCATCTTTATTGTGAGCTGTAGATCTGGTCCCTTGTCCCTGGCATGAATTCCCTGGGAAGGAAATGAAGGTACCCTTTAGTTGGCAGGAAGCCCAAGAAATAGCAAGTGCAATTCAATTAGAATTGGATTCAATCAAATTTAAGAAGAAAATTCAATCCAAACCAGAGCGTCATTGAGGCAGCAGTTGACCAAAGCTCATTAGTTTGAGAGACCCCACAATCTCCCAATTAAAAACTTCCCCAGACCCCTTCCAGCCCCTACTCCATTTTACCATAAAAATGGGGAGAACTAAAATCTGTGCTCTCCAAGGCAAATTCAAACACTGGAAAGTTAGTGGTGATAGAATAGCTCCTACATGACAAATTAGGAGCTAAGTCTTTTGTCCCTCTAAGGTTTGTTGGTGCCGTCCTTCCTTCCAAGGTGCCTTTCCTGTAGAGTGTTTAATGTGTGCAAGAAACTCCATTGCACTGGTTTCAGCAGCCTCTTGCCTTGAATCAGATCTTTGCTGATGAAAGAAGGAAAAAAGTGTCCTGCCTCCCAGAGATCAACCAAGACAGGGCATGCACGCACACGCACACGCACACGCACACGCACACGCACGCACACTCCACCAAGGGCCCTATTTCCCCCAAACAACTTATTAATATAAAATGAAATCCTCCATTTACCAATTTTGAAAGGAAAGGCACCAACTTGCTTTGAGATTTGAGAACTAGCCCAGTTATGCTGCCAGACCCATCTTTGCTCAGAAAGTAAGGAGAAAACAAGGACCAAATCATGTAAAAAAAAAAAAAAAATCCAATGTCTGAGAACTTTTCCAAATAGACCTTTTTTTCAGCAACTCCCAATCTAATTCTAATTGCTGCACATTATTAAATTGAATGTATCATTTAACTTTGATTATCAACTGGATTTTGTGTATTTTTTTTATTCCCATTTTTTTGTTTTGTTTTTGTTTAACCAAAAGGGAAGCCCCCAGGACATTTTCTTGTGTTTGGAATCCATATTGGCTCCATAGGGGAATGAACCTTCCCTAAATTAGAAATCCTTCCAGGCATGCCGACAGTGGCAGGGTGAACTCTAGCAGTGAGAGCAGAGATGGAGGCAATTATATCTGTGATCCATGTCAGTAGAGTACTGGTAAATAGTTAACAACTGGCTCTCTGGGGAGAAAGCCCTGGTCTTTAGCATCTGCCAAATTCCATGGTGTAAATATTCCCAACATGGGTGATTCTCAAGCTACCAAAAAATCATCACTGAAGCCAGAGATGGGAAGAAACATACACAATTGGCTCTCAGGACCCAGTGTAGGTGAGTGGGCTCTGGCACCTCACTGGTTCAAGTACCTTGAATCCCCTAAAGACCATTCTCAGATATATGTTTTTTTAATTTGCCACATAATACTTGGTTGATGAATACTGAAAATGCATATTCCATAACTATTGGAGAGTTTTTAGTTACTGTTTAGGAGGGGTTTTCAGGTCTTTGGAGACCAATTGTTATAAAAAGTCAAAGTCTGTGATCACGTTGTAGGGAAATGGACTTCACCCATTCCTTTAGACTCAGGCATGTCAGTGTCTCTTCTATCTATGAAGACAACCTGGGCTGACTAGAGAAGGCTGTCTGTGGAAAGCAGGGGCACGCAGGCAGGGTTCTTAGAGCGATGCCACCTCTCCTTCCATGCCTGACCCTTCTCTGTGCTCTCCGCCCTGCCCACCCTCCTTCTTTCACCAGAGAGTTTTCCAAAGAGAGGGAGAAGGCCAAGGCTCGGGGAGACTTCCAGAAGCTAAGAGAGAAACAGCAGCTGGAAGAAGATCTCAAAGGCTACCTGGACTGGATCACTCAGGCAGAAGACATCGACCCTGAGAACGAGGACGAAGGCATGGATGAGGAGAAGCCCCGAAACAGTGAGCAACCATCTTCTGTCTTTGGGCTAGGTTCTAGGAGAGAGAGGAGACAGCAGCAGGTCAACCAAAATATGTTTACCACAAACCTTTCTTTACAGCCCCTACTTGGTCTTCCTGGAGCAACATTTATCTCATTGATTGCAATCATTTGCTGCTCATAGGAATTAGTCACAGATGGGAAATAATTGCCATCGGTCTATAAAACCTCATATTCCTTTTAGAATCTTTGATCTGATAAAACAGAGTTTGCTAAGGCAATTCTCAATTCTCTTTAAAAAGTCTTTTTTTTTTTTTAACCTCCTCCTGACTCCATCTCTTTAGGCAGGGGAGCAGGCTTCCTGCTCTTGGTTTGTTCAAAAAGAACAGTTTCCCCCAAGCAGCTCCCTGGTAAGCTTTATACCTGCATAGTATTCTCTCCAAACTTGCCATAGACTTCCAAGCACCATTGAGGTTTCTCATAGGAAAAGGAGTCAAAAGTTTCTTTTAAGTAGGTTAGATTCAAGGAGCTGGGGAAGTGCTAAATGGGAAGATTGGAGGAATCCCAGAGGAATGTGATAGAATACAATTAGATTACAGAAATGGAGCCAAATCCCTTCCTTCGGGGTTTCACATGGCAGGTTGTTGGATAGGCTATAACTAGGATAGAAATGAAAGTGATAGATGTATTAACTTGCAAGTAGATTCAAGATGATGAATCATGGAAATTCAGCCCCTTATCAAAGTAGCCCAGTGGCTCTCAAAGTGTGGTCCCTGGACCAAGCAGCAGCAACAGCACTTAGGAACTTGTTAGAAATGCAAACTCTTGGGCCCCTTCCCAAACTCACTAACTGGGAAATTGCAGGGTGGAAGCCCAGTAGCTATGTGCTGGTTAACACCTCCTCCAGGTGATTGTGATGGGCAGTAAGTCTGAGAACCATTGGGTTAGCTCTAAGGGTTCTATGTATCTCCTTTGACCTTGAACTCAGTGACTCTAACTAACATTCTTTCCTACTCTTTGTGTGTGCAGTTTCTTTTGTTTTACATGTTTAAACAGGTACATTTCTGTACTCTACAGCAACCCAAACAGTTCCTAAACACAGGGCATTTAGAATAGTCAAGGAATCAAGCAGATTAAAAAGATAACCAGGATATTTGATGGACCCATGCAAGTAAGGGTAGGAAGCCAGAAATTTTTCTTTAGCCGGGAGAGAGATGAGGAGAGCCAGCAGAAGGAAAAGGAAGAGAAAGAGGATTGCCAGGGATGTTAACAGAACAGAATCTCTGCTCCCTCATTTCAAAGATTGATTTAATAAATCTATCAACTACTCCCTTTCTGATAACTCTGCTCAAGGTACAAATACAAAATTAAAACACATAAATAACAAGGGACTGGTAACAACATAATTTAATAACTTAAGGAAGCCTTCATGCTCGACTAAGTAGTTTTGCAAGTTGGAAGATGGGGCCTTTGATGGATTATAACAATGAGCAATGATGCCACTGAGGGTCTTTCTGGAAAAATGCCTGACAGCTTCTATTACATTGTTGATGGAACTGCAGGGTAGTTGATTAGTTTGTGGCACTGAGTGGTATGGTAAATAAATAAATCGGCCTGTGGGCCACAGAGAGGCTTACCTCTCCAATACAGGAATTGCTGTTTCAGCTCCTCACTTTACTCACATTCAAAGTGGAACCCCTAGCTTGTGATTACTTTTCTTAACAGTTGTTATTAAAAACACACAATACCCATGACTTGCTTAGCAGCCAGTTGCCATCCACAGAGACATGGTTATTCTGTTCTCTGCCTAAAGCCAGAGCTTCCACAGGGATGTGTGCTGCTTCTCCATTTTGCCCACTAGAAGAACGAATTCCAAGGAGAGCTTCTAGCATGCAGTATTCCTTGCTGCAGCAACAGATCATGCCGACAAGGTCCATCTACCCAAATTTCTGGCCTGGCTCTGAGAACAGCATAATGAACAATTTACCCCAATAGACAGAGTCTCTGCCAAGATTTTCGTAAATATGGATAGATCAGACTTTGGAGGCTGTTGTTCCTCTCCCATGCTTCCTTATGGCTGGAGGACCTTTCAGGTCTGCTTCTTGTCCTCAGCCAGCCTTGTCTTTGGAGGACTGGAATGGGAGCCTGGCTCCTTCATGAGTGGAAATGCTGGTGGGACAGTTCCAGGGGGAGGGACAAGGGAATGAAGTTCCAAACAAACTAGGTTATGGAAAGTAGACATGAAGAAATGGAACATGAGACTTAGGAATAAGTCCAGGAAAAGAGTCCAAACGATGGTGTCTATTGGGGAAGTCCAATTAAAAGTAGAGTCAATCCGATTTCATTATTAAGGAATCAGAAGCCTAAGAGACTTACAGAAAAGGCAAGAATATGGCTTGGAAATGATATTCTTAGCCTCAGAACTTCATATTCTGCCCTTTGAAATAAATACAAGAGGAGAAATTCTGCTACAAACTAGATGTATGTTTTAATTAGTGTAGTATCTTAGCCTTTGAAATCACCGAAAGATTACAGGATGGTATATTTGTCAGTTCTTTTCAGCTCAAAAATGAAGTAGTCTTTTAAGACAAAAAGGTATCATCACCTCATTGTGGCTCTGGTGACTACTTTTGGCCCCAGGAGTGTCCCTGTCCTCATGTACCAGATGTCTCTGATATAAGGCCCTGGGAAGCAGAGCTGGCTACGGTGGAGGGACAGCCCAATGACACATCACTGCATGGTGGCTGAGCACACCTACGCATAGCCCAAGTATTCAGCTTTCCTAGGAAAAGCTAAAGGAACTAATAAGGAAGTAGAAGAAACAGGAGTTGGAAGACAATAGAGAAAAAGCATTAAAAGTTGGGAGGCATTTCTCTAAATGAGTAAAAGAAGGGGCCAATAACTATGTATAATTTCTAGTTCATCCATCCACCTACCCTTGAAAGGTCTGCTCTTTGCCAGACACTTCTCTAGGCACTTGTGATATAGCAATAAAACACAGTGGTCAAAAATCCCTGCCCTACCCTGGGGAGACAGACAATACATTAAATAGTATATCAGAGAGCAAAGAGTACCATGGAGAACGATGGAAGTGTGGATGGGCCTAGCGGTGCCAAGAGGTTATATAATGTTAGATGGGGGCAACCAGGGAAGAGCTCACTGAGAAGGTGGCATTTGAATAAAATTTGAAGGCAGTAAGGAAAGGAACCACACAGATATTTGCAAAAATAATGTTCCAGGCAGAAGGAAGGCCAATGAAAAGACCTTGAGGCAGAAGCATGGATGGGGCATCCGTGAACAGAAAGAGGCTAATGAGACTGAAAAGGAGGGAAAGAGGCAGAGTGACGGGCAACAAGGTCCAGGGGAACCCAGGAGGATTTGGTGTAACTTGTGAGAACATGGATGTTAGCTAGAAGAAAGCCAAGTAGCCTTTGGAGGTTTTGAGCAGAAAAGTCACATGATCTGAGGTGCATTTGACAGGGACCCCTGGCTGCCACATGCTGAAGTGTTGAGTAGAATGGAGGTGGCAAGGGCGGGTCTGCTCAGGAGGCTGCCACCTTGAAAGATGATGGTGCCTTGTCTCAGCCAACGTGGAGGTAATAAGATCAGAATTCGGGTGGCATCATTCACTGAGATATTGGGTTTGGGATGTGAGAAAGAGAGAAATCAGGCATTTTCCAAGGTGATGTAAGAATGGAATTATTGCTTGGCATAGGGAAAATATGAGTAGAGTAGGTGTCAGTATAGGAATAGGGGGAAAGGCATCTCGGACCTTTCAGTTTAAATGCCTATGAGACTTCCAAGTGGAGATGTTGAGTGGGTGATTGGGAATAAACCTATGTCCTTGGTTAACATCTGGGACTGGATTATACTTTGGGGGCATTGACAACACACACAAGATGTTTAAACCCATATGTCTGCATGAAATCACCAGGGAGCAAATGAGATGAGGTCTAAGAACCGACAGCAGGGCCCCACCAATGTTTGGGATTTGGGGTCATGGACAAGAATCAACAAGAAAGAGTCCAGAGAGGCAGGAAGGAAAACAGAGGAAGGAGTGTCAGTACTGCCAAGATATCAAGTAGGATGAGGACTAGAAACTGTTGAACTTAGCCATGTGGGGATCCATAGGCCCTTGACGAGAGCTGGTTGGTGGGCTGTTGGGGCGAAAGCTTCATAGCAAGTCAGTGTCTCACATCACAAGTCTCTTGATTTGCATCTTCCAAGGATGGCATTAAGCATTGCTCTGCAGCCTTCCTGTTTGGTTGGCATGACCTTGCTGCCCGCCATCTGAGGAGTCAGGCCCTCCGGAGAAAGAAAGGAAGCAAGCGAAACTCATATGATCCATCCAGCATGCCAGTGGCCCTGGGAAGGCAGTGGGTTGGAGCCCAGCCCTTCAATGTGTCCCTATCTACAACTGTATCCGCATTGGGCCTTTCTACTGCAACTGGTCATAGAAACCACCCCCCCCAAATAAAAAGTAAAAACATGATACTCAAGAGACATTTCAGGATCAAAAAGACAGAAGAACAGCTAGAGAAGGGCATGTCACTGTTGCCCTCCATGCAGCTTCCAATGTGGGGCAGCCCCTGGGTTTTGGTCTCCAAGCCCCGTTTTTTGTCTGGGTAAACACTAGAACAGTGTGGAGTCTCAACTCTGTAGGGGCTGCCACTCTCCTCCCTCCCACCTGCTAGGAGCATCCCTTTTGAAGGCATCAATTGCAAAACTATCACTGTGGCACAGGGTTCAATATCATCAATAGGGAGCACTACTCCAAGGGACAGGGTCCATTTTCTGGTTCCAATATTGAATCTGATAAAAGGCCAGGCATTAGAGGGAGAAACTGGAAAGAAAGAGAATTTCTTCTTTCTTTTTCCTCCTCAAGATCAAAAAATGCATGTATTAAATCTATCCATATGGGAATCTCTCTCTCTCTCATGTCATTTAGACAATTTAAATGCAGCCCCAGCCTTCCAAAGCTTGCAATATAAGACAGACATTTATGTGAATGAGCATATAAAAG